TTTGGTACAAGTTGATGCCCCAGTTTCACTTTCTCTGCCCCAGACAGTGAATCAGCCATTTCTCTAAGAGACAGAAAACATGGTCGTCCTCCTCGGTTACCCAGAAGTAAGGTGTCACTTTCCCTACCCATTTAAAAGAAGCTTAAGAATAGCTAATGGCTATTAGGTGCTGTGTGCCCGGCACTTTGTTTTCCATGCATCACCTCTTTTAATTCATGTGCCAATTCTTTTTTTTATTATTATTATTTTTTATTATTTTTTTTTTTTTAATTTTTTTTTTAATTTTTTTTCTCAACATTTTTATTTATTTTTGGGACAGAGAGAGACAGAGCATGAACGGGGGAGGGGCAGAGAGAGAGGGAGACACAGAATCGGAAACAGGCTCCAGGCTCCGAGCCATCAGCCCAGAGCCCGACGCGGGGCTCGAACTCACGGACCGCAAGATCGTGACCTGGCTGAAGTCGGACGCTTAACCGACTGCGCCACCCAGGCGCCCCATCATGTGCCAATTCTTTATGGTAAGTACTCTTACTTATCCCCATTTTATAGATGAGAAAACAGGGGTGTGGAGAAGTTGAGTAAATTGTACAGGGCCACTCAGCGAGCAATTAGGGGAGTAAAGAATTAGAATTTAGATCATTCTGATTCCAAAATCAGGCTTGGAACCACCATGCTATATTGCCAATTTTGCTACCAAAAAAAAAGAGAACTACTTAAAAAGAACGGAACTTCATAATATCTACACTTAAAAACGGAAGCAAAAACCATGCTTGGTGATGACAGGTATTAAGCAAAATTTAAAGAAGGAAATCCTTGATGGGGCACCCAGGTGGCTCAGTCGGTTGAGTGTCTGACTCTTGATTTTGGCTCAGGTCATGATCCCAGGGTTGTGGGATCAAACCCCTTGTAGGGCTCCTTGCTGAGCATGGAGCCTGCTTGGGTCTCTCTCTCTCTCTCTCTCTCTCTCTCTCTCTCTCTCTTTCCCTCTCCCTTCCTCTACCCCCCCCCCCCCCCCCCCCCCTCTCTCTCTCTCTCTAAAAAAAAAAATAAATTAAAAATTAAAAATAAAAAAAAAAAAAAAGGAAATCCTTGAGAAATCTGGTACCTTTCTCATGATTTCTAAATTGCCAATAATCACAACTTAGCATAACCCAGGTCAGGCCTGGAACATGATTAGAAAGCTTTCTTACAGCTCAACTCAAAGCCTTATCATGGAATGAAATAGAGCAGGGACTTTGGACCAGTTTAGTGTTCAAAGCCTTTCGAGCTTCCCTCACAGCTACCGGTGGTTTTCTCTGCTCCTGGGGTGGTCTATTCAGAGCTCAGGCTGTCCAGGTTATTGAAAGGGAGAGCGAAGGGAGGGAGGAAGGGAGAGCTGCTAGGATTATGTAACTGTCCCTTTTCTCCTGTCCCAGGGTGCTGGGAAGTGAGAGGGCAGCCGCCTGGAGGAAGGGGCCCCTTTCTCTAATCTGCACAAAGGTGCCTTATTGGCTAGCAGGGCCCTCTGTGACTGAAGTTCTTCCTGTACGAAACTGACTGTTCTGGGTTCAAGGGCGAGTAACTCTCTATTATCTCTTAACGAGAGAAAACTTCCTCCTCCCCACAGGAATTTCCAGTTGTAGTTATTAGCCTAGGTGTAACCTGAAATTTAAATGTAATTACATTTCTCTTAGAGCTAAGGTTGCCCCTGGCAACCTACCAGTTTCCTGCTTTCCTTCTCGGGAGGAGAGTCTTTGGCCTTTTACTCCTTTTGTCCTTTTCCACTTTGACCATAGAGTCCAGCTGAACTTGTGTGTGTGGGGGGGGTGGTGTTTAGTGAGGACGCTTAACCCAGGACACCAAGTCTCCAGCTTGTCCTTCCCCCGCCCCCCCACCCCCAGCCCTGAGTCTTTGCCTGGGGCAGCAAGAGAGTGTCCCAGCGGTGGTGAGGTGGGTGGCAAGGAGTAACAGGGAGGGATGGGTGGGGGCCCATTAAGATAAGGAGGAAGAATAAACGGAAGCAGATGTGCCTTCAGCCCAGGTCTCCAGCTCACTGGAAAACAAACAGATGGCAGCTTGTCTCCAGGGCGGGGCCGGCCTCCTCAGAGCCGGGAGCTGGGCTGGGCTCCCTGGTCCTCACCTCTCCACTGGATCTTGTCTTCCTTCCCTGGGGACAGGCCAGAGGAGCTGTCCCTCCACACAATACAATATTCACATTCCATCTATGACCGATGCCAACGACTCCACTCCATTGGAAAAGATGTGCACACACCGCCCGTCTGTGAACCACAGAGAGAGACACCGTACATATGCACACTCTCTTCTGGATTGACATTCACAGCCCCGAGGTGACTTTAATGCCCTGGAGTGACGGACTCCTAAAGTTAGGGGCCCCTCCATAGGATGGACCCTCTGGCTGTAAAGTCCCCTGGCTCTCCAGGCTGTTTTGGGCTACCCACCCCCAATCCAGGAGGGATCAAAGATCCAGGAGGGATAGAAAGTCTGGACATTCAGGCTGTGCAGGGCCGGGGCTGAGGCTGATGATGCTCTCGTTCCACAGCAATGTTTCCCTTTCAGAAGGGACCTGAAACTGACTTAACATTCTCAGTTTTTAATAGTACCTAAGTAGGTGCAGAGTTAACCCTGGGTATTCACTCTCTGTGCTTATAAGTAGTCTATAGTCATAAAACTGAAGGAGGGAGAAGGGAGGAGCCAGGGTCTTACGCTCCCAAACCGCAAGGATGTCTCCAGTAGGGGGTTTCTGTTTCTCCCAGACAGACCTGCTGTGACCTACTGTGGTCCCAGCTTCTGCTGGATGACCCCGGGGCTCGGGTAACGCTGTCCCATCTTCTGTCCTAGTCTAGGGGTGATGGCGGCTTCCTGCTGTTGCTCATTGCTGGTTCGCCTCACCCTCCCTACTGGCATTCTGGATTCTTCTATCCTGGCAAGCTTGAGGTGGGAGGCAGTGTTTCATAAAGGTGGGGAACGCAGGGGTCTTAGGTGGGATGTCCCCAAAGCCAATGCTAAGAAGGAGCTGTGCAAGCAGAGAGTTTATTGGGGAGCATGCCGCCCAGCAGCAGCTCTTAGAAGTGAGGGAAGCAGAGGGATATGTTGACATGCGACAGTTGCAACAAAAACTCTGAAGCCGGGATGGCCCTTCGGAATTGTCCCAAGTCGAGGCAAGGGATTTGATTTTTGTACCCCACCCCCACCCCAGCACGGCTGAGTTGGATGGGGGCCGCCCCAGGGAGGGGCCAGTGTTGGACGTGGGGTGGCTCCCTTCAGGCAGGGCTATTCCTGAGGGACTGGCTGTGAGCTGTCATCAGCCCTGAAGGGGAACCCGGACAGAGGCCACAGCATCCACTTCAAGTTCAAAGCCCACTTCTGCAACTTACTAGTTATGTGACCTTGACCCAATTCCTTATCTTTCTTTAGCTCGTGGTTCAGTTTCCTTACCCGTGAACAGGGAAATGGTGAGGATTAGCTGAGATTGGTTCTGTGTTCTGTAGGGGAGAGAAAGTCTCCACCCCTCTGCTGGCTTCCCCCCAAGGTCGCTGCTGTAATCTGTTTGGTCAGGATCCAGGAAGCTGTTTCAGACACTTTTATGAGGGGGGTGGGGCTCTTGTGCAATAAAGGGTCGTGTGCCCAGGTGTGGCCTTTTCTCTCACTTCCTGCTCCCAGGGGCTGGGTAGGCCTTGCTCTCCTCACTGGGGATGGAATGAGGAAGCTGAACCCTGGTCCTGCTGCAGGCTGGCCTCGCTGCCCTCCCTCTTCTTCCTCCCTGGAGCACTGGCTGGTCCAGGGAGCTGGGGAGCCGGAGCTCTAAATCCTGGACTGAAGCTGAGCTTCAGTCCTGTCACTGAGCTCGGAGCCCTGTCCTGAGGTGTCAGTGCATCAGGCTCTGTGCTATAGAGCAGCACCCCAAATTTCTTCAGGGTCCCCCAGGTACATATGGAGACTTGGTATGAATTAGAAAAGGGCCTTCCTCTGGGCAGACACAGCCTCAGGAGTGCTCAGTTTAACAAATAGATAGTGCCTTTGTGTAAACTAGGAAAAGGCCCCCAGTCCTCTTTGTTCAACTTGAGGTGCCGTGCGCAACCTGCCCAACCCTATGGGATGACCCTGAGTGAAGGCTCCACTAGATGCCACGGGTTCTTGCCCTGCCTCTGCTTTGCCAGCTTTCTCAGAACCCACCAGATGTAAGGTGTAGCCCTGGATTCTAAACATTTTGTGTGGTTTATGCACTTATTCTGGACGATCAAGTTCTATGCCAGAGAGCCTATCTCCCCACACATCCAACCTCTCTGCCTCAGAGCCCGTGATGGTACTTTCAGTGATGGCATTCATAGTTTCCAGTGGGTCCCGGAACTGCAAGGGAGCAGAGAGATCACTGGACATTGCTTGAGTGGCAGGGACACAAAATCTGTTCCAGTGGGGACAGACCCCCCCCCAGTCACAGAAGCACCCCAGCCCCGTGAGTCTGTCCCACCGATCAGAGCACATGCCTAGGAACTTGGGTCAAGCGTCTTGTCTGTGAGACATGTTGCTGGAGAGGTGGTGCGGGCAGAGCAGAAGTCAGGAGCCAGATGACTTCAGGCTAGACTTAGCTGGATTTGTTCGATCCAGAACCAAGTGTTGACTCGTACGACTTTCCTTGAAAAAAATCTACATGGGCACGATGGGCTTGCATTCCTTCATGGAAACACTTGACTGGAGCTGAGCCGTGTCTTCCTCAGTAGAATTGTAGGGGTGGCCTTAACCCTGGTTTCATGGGGGAAATTATATACTCCACAGTTAGCCTGAGTTTGAATCCTGGATCACTTATTAGCTGTGGGACCTTGAAAAAGTTATTTCTCTGTGAATCAGTTCTCCCACCTGTCAAACAGGATGATGATATGATAGTACCCATATTACAGGATTGTTCTAAGGATTAAATAAGTACTTGTAGCAGCACATGGCACATAATATACATTAGCTATTACAATGACAACAGGTGAGTTTCCACTGAGTAGGCATTTATGTAATGTTTCCACGAACATCATTTTATTATCTTAATGACGTCCAGATTCCCAGTGACAGATTGTAGCTGGCCTAGAGGAACCCAAGTTGGGAACGTCACTCTTTGATCCATGAGGCCCCCTTCCCCTGAGCAAGGGAATCTTCCAGACCTCCCAAGACATGGGTGGCCTATGGCCATGACTCGTGATCTTTCCTGCTTGGAACCCTGTCCCTTCCGGGATATGCAGGGAAGCAATGTGAAGTTACGCTTCCTGTCAGCCACTTCTCAGAGCACATCCTGATATCCCAAGGCAGCCTCATTCCTCTTGTGAGTCGTTAAAATCTGTCAACAGCAGTCTTGGTTACTGGGCATTTTTATTTCCCGCCTGATGCCTGCTTGGGGCAATGAGTTCCATGAGCTTACCACCCACGGAGTGAAGTCAGATTTCCTTTTATTCTTCCTAAATAGAATTCTCTCAAGCTTTAAGCAGGGCACCCTGGTCTAGTTCAGGATTTGGTGAATGCGTTCGTGACCAGCCTCACCTAACATTCATGATCAAACAGATGTGATTCCTTCTTGGCTTCTATCTTCCCAGCTGGAAGAAGCCTCAACATATTTCTCTGTATTTTTATGGTAGCTTCCCTGTTTCCTTGACGACTTTGGCCGGCCCTTTTTCTAGGTTCCCACTGTCTTTCTTGAGCTTTAGTAAGCGCACAGGACAGAAATCCCTCCCCCACCGCACACTGACCCGATGCCACATTCTGTTACGCTTGGATGCCCTTCCAGGTACCAAATGAGAATTTCACTTCAGTACATGCAAATTGCAGTCATTTTGCTGAAAACCGGAACAAGAGGGTATGGGGAGTTGGTGAAAGAGAAGAGAGTCAAAAGCAGCAAGCAGAGCACAGCCAGAGGATTTGCCGTAGAGGTGTGGGAACAATAAAAGAAGGTGAGATCTTAGAACCCTGACTCAGAACTCCACCCCGAGGCCGCTGTACACAATCCAGTCCTTGCCCCCTCACCATGGCCTTGGGTGCCAGGCTGCATCAGTCAGAGCGATTTCCTTTTCTCAGTTTGCATAAAGCCATCTCATGGACCAGCGGCTGTCCTGCCCAGGATGGGACAGCTGTGTCCTCTAGAGGGGAGGGCAGAAAAAGCCAGGTCAGAGCAAGGCACTGGGTCCTCCTACTCTGACATAAAGTTCTTCTCATCGTTCGTCCAGTATTTATTGAGCATCTCTGCGCAGCACTGTTTTAGGTGTTGAGAGGACAGTGGTGAGTAAGACAGACATGATTGCTGCCCTCATGGAGCTTACATTATAGTCAGGGGAAATAAATAAACAAGGTAAATTTAACGTTTATTTATTTTTGGGACAGAGAGAGACAGAGCATGAACGGGGGAGGGGCAGAGAGAGAGGGAGACACAGAATCGGAAACAGGCCCCAGGCTCCGAGCCATCAGCCCAGAGCCCGACGCGGGGCTCGAACTCACGGACCGCGAGATCGTGACCTGGCTGAAGTCGGACGCTCAACCGACTGCGCCACCCAGGCGCCCCAAACAAGGTAAATTTAGACATCACAAGCATCACGATGGTCTAGATCAGGGTTGGCAAATCCAGCCCTTGGGTCAACTCTGGCCCTTGGCCTAGTTAGTAAGGCCCATGGGCTAAGAATCATTTATATATTTTTAAGGATTCTAAAACAATACAAACTTCTAGGAGGCATGCAAACCCTCATTATCTACTCTTTTTCATGACAGAAAAAGTTTGCCAAGTACTGGTTTAGACAGTGACTCAAGGTGGTAGGGTGGTCTAGTGACACATCAGCTGCTTCCCCAGCACCCATCCAAATGTCTCAAACACATCGTAGCCTTGACATTTGGGTGGTGGCATGGGGCTTTCACCGCCTAAGCCTACTAATTAGGGTCCTTTGAGCACTGACTGGTTCCGGGTTACACCAGTTAGTGGGTGGGATTCTCCTGGGCTAAGGGACTGGTTAGGTGAAGTCCAGGACTTTCCTGAGTGTTGGAGGACAAGAATCTCTCTTTCTGGATGAGGTTGGATATAGATGTGAGGCCAGGGATTGCTTGCAGCCATATTGCTGCATGAGCCATATTGAGCGTGAGGATAAAGGTGACCTGTTGAGGGGAGCACCCAGAGAATCACAGAAAAATCCTGACTATACCCTGGCTGGAGCCCGATTTGCTTCTGGACTTAGTTCTACAGCCAATAAACTCCCTTCAATGTTTAAGCCGATTTAGGTTTCTTGTTCCTTTTGACCAAAACATCTTAACCAATATAGATGGTCAAGGAAGAAGGAGGTGATGTTTGAGCTGAGATATGAATGGGAGCAAAGAAGATCTGGACGAAAAACCTTCCAAGCAGAGGAAAATGCAAATGCAAATATCCCAAGATGGGTATGAGCTAGGCACACTGGAGAAGTGGGAAGGTCAGTGAGCCATGGGGAGAATGGAATCTGGCGAGGGAGAGGAGCAGGCCAGGTCTGGCGGCCCAGGAGAGGAGCTTTGCTTTTGCTCTAAATGCAACAGGAACCCACTGTTAGTTTCTTTTTACATTTTTTAAACGGATTTTTATTAACATATAGCAGTACAGTACACAAGGTTTAAGGGCACAGTTGGATGAAATGAACACCTACGCACATATACATAAATCTCTGTCACCCAGATCAAGAACGTTCTCAGCCCCCACAAACCATGTATGCAATTTAAAATTTTCTAGGAGCCACATGAAAACAAGTAAAACACAGATGAAATAAATTTTAATAATGTATTTGATTTTAATTCAGTGGATCCCCAATATTCTCTTAAGGCATAATCAGTGTTAAAGGTGTCAGTAAGCTGTTACTTTTCCCAAGTCTTTCAAATTCCAGTGTGACTCTTACATGGACAGCACATTTCGATTTGGACTAGCCACATTTCAGGGCTCAGCATCCACACATGGCTAGTGGCTACTGTAGGAACAGTGCACGTCTAGAGAGTAAAGCAGTGAAGCAAACATGGTCCATTGATCAGAATAGAAGTCATGTAAATGTAAGCCACTGACCTTATCTTGGTTTAGAGTCCTGACTCTTTCATTTTATTTTAGTGAAAAAAAGTTCCCACCCATTCTCAGTTCCCTGCCCTATATTCCTCCAAGGTCTTACACACAACACAGCATTTGCCTACCATCAGTGGTTTTCCTTCCCTTTTGGGCTCTCGTGAATGGAGCTGTCCTTCTGCTGATTCTCAGGCACTATTAAGTGTGGATAAGGAAGGGAGCCACAGCTGGTGACCCGTGTTCATCCCCCCGTTCTGTTCTTACCTCCAGGACTGGCTTTCCTGGCAGCGAGTCAATGGAACCCCTTCTTCACACACAGGTGTATAATACTGGAGCTCACCTGTGGTGCAAGGGGACGATCTGAAGGAGCAATGACTAAGAAATTAACCTAGTCCTTCTGGATTTCATTCGAATTGTTGGGTGTGTCCTGGGCGCCAGAATCATAAAGCAGGCCTGGTTTCCTTCCTTTGATGTATTTAAAGAGCCCTGGATTTGCAGCCACAACACTGAGTACTAGTCCCACAGCCCTCACTAACGGCAGTATCACTTCGGGTGTAGGGTTTAGCTAATCTGAGCATCACTTCCTCTGCTGGTTAAACATGAGTAATAATACCTGTCTTATAGGTTACAGTGATTACCAGATAAATCATACAGTTTGAAACTGTAAAGCATTACACAAATACAAGACGCTAACCTTTACAGCAGGGAACATGATGCAGGACATACAACAGGGGGAAAGGCCCCTCTGAGATGCTCAGGGCAGGAAGCACGTTTCTTCCCCTCTGCCCTCTTGCCTTTGCTCTTCGCCCCCTCACAGTTTGTAATGGCCTGTGTGTGGCTTTACAAGCAGCAGGCGCTCTGATCCAAAAGAATGACTAATTGAACACGCTCCTGGTATTTTGGTCCTTCATACACACCTGTCCTGGGCTCCTGGAAAGGCAACCCCCAAGGGAAGCCTCTTGGCCAGGTGTCCGAAAATGTTTCCTCCGCAGGCGGGTGGCAATTCCTCCGCAGGCGCGTAGGTTTCCATTGGCTCCGGGGGCGGGGGAGGTGGGGGGGAGGGAAGGGGTCCCCTGCGTGTATCTTTTATTGGCTGACTGTAGCTGGGACCAGGAGCCACAGGCCCTGCGCAGTTCACAGCCCCGCGAATCTCTGAGGGCTGCTGGCGCCTTTGCTGCCTCCTGTCCCCTGGTGGCCGGTGGGAGCGCCCTCCACGCCCCCTGGGCCCTTCCCGGACTGCTCTTCCAGTCCCAGGCCGGGCACCTACAGCCTCCTCTCAAATCGCCTCCTTGGGGAAACCGTCCCAGGCTAAACCCAGCCATTACCAGTCCCTTAATGGACACATTTCTGGTCCCCGGCTCAGAGGCGGGGCATCAGTCCCCGAGCCACGCACACGAGCTCTGCCTTTGTCACTTTCTCAAGCTCCGCCAGCTGCGTTAGAATGCTCAGGCTTCTTAACTCTTCTCCCCGCGAAACACAGGTCGGAGGATGCAGTAAACCTCCTGGCTCCTCCCCGAAGAACTCTGGGACTTCAATGCACTGGGCCCCAGCCAACAACCGAATAAAGTGGAAAATTTTTTCATCACTTACAGAAAGTATTTTCACTCGGCAAAACAGCAGCTCCGGCCCCTCTGAGCAAGCCCGTTTTAGCCGCGCCGGGCAAGAGAGCACCCGTGCAGTTGGCGGCGCTTTCCGGAGGCTGCTCCAACCCCCCTCCCACTTCCCATCCCGCTGTC